GTCGATCTATCCCGCCTGCATATCTCAACACCACTTGTAATGGGACGTGAACTTAGCATTAGCCTATAAACAGACTGCTCTATGGTTGCGAGACCCTAAATTTGTGCGTGGAAGATATTCGTCCTCTTGGAGTATTCGAATGCAGATGTTTACGTAGTTTGGCTTGCGTTGGATGGAGCGAGCTTGTAAGCAACTCTGAGGTGAGGCGTCGCGTATTTGGTAATGCTTCGATGGAGAATTCGTTGTCCCATCGAATTCAGATTAGTCGGCTTCGCTGGTTAGGACACGTATTGCGCATGCCCAGCCATCGTCTGCCGCACCGCGGCAGTTATGACTCCAGGTTGGAAGAAACCGTGTTGGTCAACGGATGACGTGGAAGCGAGGCATGAAGAAATGCACAGAGCGATTAGGTAGAATCGGTGTCTCCCGTCTTCCAGGTTGGAGTCCGAAAGGCTCTTCAACTGGTTTGCTGGAGACATCAAAGGATATGGCGACTAACTGACAGCAGTCGCGTTCTTCTCATTTCTTAACAAGGCAGAATGCTTGAAAGAAGGTATGCATGAACACTTAGATTGTGTGCTCTGTGTGTTGAACACAGGGTTCTTTTTCTTTGCCTCCCTCCAAGTAGGCCCAATCCCTCTCTATCTTATACTTTATCACTTGATTTGTGTGCATTGTGAGCTTGGTAGCGCTCAGTGAAGGTCGCTTCACTGTATCTCGCTGTACGATGATGATGATGATGATGATACACAGACTGCGAGATTTGGTGGTCAGCGTGCATCAGACCAACAAGTTGCTGCCTCCTTGGGGAATTCCCGCAAGCTGTTCCATCTCATGTGCGTCACCGGTAAGAAAGTTTCTGGTGTGTGCGAAACGATCTGTGAAGCTGACGGCTCGCCCGCACGTAACTAACATCTACGCCTTGCACCTTGAGCCGATCACTTCGTTGTACAGTATAACTGTTCACCGGCTTCAGCTTTTCGCAGAGCTATTCCGGCACATATCCGGCAGCCTGTCTAAACAGACTTCTGAGACGGAAATCCGCAAGGAGATTCACTAAACCGATATTTGGTCACGATAATCTACCACACAAACTGACTGTGCATACGTTTTCAAATTTTTTCGAATCTTGAAATGATACTAGAGTCACCACAGCTCCCAGCACATTCTCAGTGACGTACATGCATCAACCACAGAACTTACTTCTTGAAACATGCCGAATTTCGCAAATCCCGTTTGGTATTTACTTCTGAATTTACTCTTGATAGCAGGTATAACTTTGTTGTCCTTTGATAGTGTTGGAAACAACTACTTAACTCACCTGGATGAATAAGAGTTTAATTGTCATTCAATTCAGGATACGAAAATTGACTAACCTCGTCAACATGAAAGTCATTGAAGGTCTGTTTTTATTTCTAGTTCATTCGTTATTTTTGTTGTTTTTATCTCACTTCCGTCTGTTTTTAAACTTGATTTGCAGTGTGCTATTGTTTGTTGATGAAGCAGACGCATTTCTGCGTAAACGTGAACAGGAGAGGATAAGCGAAGGCCTTCGTGCCACTCTGAACGCATTCCTTTATCGAACTGGTGAACAGTCAAAAAAGTGAGTGCGTTTTATTTGCGACGCATCTTTGCTATTCCGATTGCTGGAACTATCGGAAAAGGTCCATTATATTTTCTACGTGGTGTATTAAGTATTGACCGAACCTGTCAAAATGTTCGTAAAAGTTCTGGCCTCTGTATGACTCACTGGCAAACAT